TCCCATTCAGCTGTTTGATGGTAAGATAGTAATTCATGATTAAATACCATATGCTCCTCAATTTTGGCAGCTGAGCCACATAAAACCTGGCCATGTTTCAGGGGTGCATTCATGCGCCCATCAATGGATGTTGAGCCATGAGGGAATATAGTATCAGCGACAAGGTAATAGTTGGGGGGCATGCTGAGTCAAAGCTGAGTATAAATGTGAGATGTGAGATGAGAATCATGCCAGCTGCCAGGAGCATTGGTCCTTGCTGTGATCACAGCACCTTTGTAAAATGACAATTGAGTACAAATAATTGAAGGAAGATGGGAAAACACACCCTCAGTAGAAAACACTATGACTGAACTGACAAAATGTTTGGAAAGCTACCTGTTGTAGGTAGCATTCTCAATGTCAACATTCTCAGAAGTCTGGACAGGCAGTTTGAGCCTATCAATGCTGCCAAAAGCACCTTGCAACCGTGGGTGATGTGCAACCACAAGGGCACTACAATGCTCAAACTCAGGTCCCTGTAGCCATTGAATGGTGGCATCCGCCATAGAATGGGGGGTCTGTAGTAACATGGGCAGTCCAGAAGTGAGGTAGCGAGAAGCAGTTGCTGGAATCAGTGTGAAAATCTGTTGGAGGCTGGTCTCATGCATGGTAGAGTTAAGATAGTGGAGTATGAGCCTAAGGGCTCCAGTGGCATTAAGTGAACACCAATTCAGGCATGGAATGCTATGTGAATTGACATCAATATGTGCAATAGGCTTCTTGTACCACTGACTGGCAAAACTGGATGTAAGGATCAGTCCAAACATTTGGACGTCAATGCCCATGGTCATAATAAAAGCACAATTGTTCTGACTCTGGTACAATGCTTGCCATGGTGTATCACAATGTGGACCAGGAAGGAGTTGTGCACAACAAAGGTAGAGTCGTCCAGGGTTCTGAGTTTGATACAATTGAGTTGAGCAAGCTCAACTTCAGCAACCAGGATGGTTGCTAACATTTTCATGTCTTCTTCATCATCAAGAAAAGCTGTCTCCTCTGCGTTGTTCATTAGAGTATACTGTAGTAGCAGATCATCCATTGGAGTGCTGACAAAATCTAGATTATTTTATTCATGTGTGTTACGGTTTGGTTTTCTGTACAGATTATCTTTTTCAGATATGTTTCAAAGTCCATCATAATCTATTCTACATTATTTGGCCTACAGATAGTCACCCAATATGTAGGAGTGTTGCTTATAATTTATGGAAAGCTGGATGCACACACTCATTATTAAGCATCACACATCCATAATGGGCAGTAGGACTTTGTGTATTGCTAGTTTAAATTGTCTGAGAATGCTAGATATATACATGACGAAGGAAAATCACCATCCACCTACCATTTCATCCTCACTTTCATGATCTGAGAACTCCCAAACCACCAAACCAGCGTGATCAAGACCAACCAAGCTTTCATCAATCCCTGTGGTGATATCTGGCTCATCATTACATGAAAGAATATCTCACTGATGACAGTGCTCAGTATCTGGCAAATGTCTACATCAGCATTTACACTGGCAGGATTGGAGATGACAAACCAAGGACAAGTCCTCCTCCCACACCACCCATGTAATAGACACCATTGGGCTCCTCACAAGAAGGTAAGTCTTGATAGTTATCTAAAAGCAGAAAAAATCTTCATCTTTGTCATCCTGCAGCTGAATTTCACCTGGTAACTTGTCAGCCACCTGGAGGGCATCTAGCAAAAGCCTATATATGTCCCAGACTGATTGCTGTGTGATAACTGGGCAACCAAGATCATTGTAGCAATGCTGAATACACTTACCAAAAGCCTCTGGGACCAGGTTAAACATGCTGAAGGTTCAACTACTCTGCTAGGCTGCAGAGCAAAAGAAAGAAAGATGCCTCTACCTCTGGGGTGGGAGGGGGGCCTACTGACTCTCTAAGTGTTGGTTGAAGTGCGCCAGGCGATATGCTCGACCCTTAAGGGAAGCAAGGAAAGCAAATCCACGAAGTGACACCAGGTCAACTCTGGTGAAGTGCACTGAAAGTGCATGTATGGGAATGTTGAGCGCGTAGGTGTGTGAAGCATGGGAATAGGGTGCATGCAGTGTGCGAATGTGTAAGAGATGATGATTGGCTGCTGCTGAAGACTAGGGCGATGACTATGATAGATGCTGGCTCATGATGGATTCTAACTGCTAGATGCTACTAGACATGATGGTAGTTGTATGTGTATGAAAACTTCCTAGGCAACAGGTAAGCTGTGCCTAGGTGTGCTCCCAGGGCTCAGAAGCGAATCAGGAGCGCTCTATGTATGTAAGTGAGGTAAATAAAGGGTCCATGATGAAATAATGTATGGTACGATGCTAAATATGAGAATAAATGAGGAAGCACTCACTAGGGAACTGGTTGGACGATGGATGGATGCTCCAGGATGCTGCGCAACAAAGTGCGACCAAGCATGGGAAGAGCGCACTAAGCGCGTGCGCGGGAATGCGTTGCATAGTGCAGGAATGCATTGCACCTCTGGCGCATTTCATGGGAAAGTCATAGATGGTGAGTTGTACACTATACCAATCATCATGAGTTGTAATATGGGCGATCTACGCCTGGAGGAATCTCATTCCCTACAACACAATGAGAGGGCTTGATGTAAACACTTCAGACAAGATCTAAGGCCTCAGGTTTGATTTTAATCTATGATAGTACCAAGATTAGAGTACTATTACAATGACCAAGTTGATGTAGCATGTACCTTGAAATCCAATGCCCCAAAGTCTTTGGCTGAATGATAGATAAGATTGGGTACTCCATGAGGAAGAATCTGGATGGTGCGTCAATGTAAAACCATACTTGTGTGAGTAAAACCATGGGTATGTACTTTGTTGCGGTCATGCCACTTGGCAGTATTGTTAACACGATCCTGATATGCATCCAGCTCCTGCTGAAGCCATGGTATGAAAACCCAATGGAAAATCATCCTGCAAATAAACATTACAACTAATACTCAAGAGTTGCGGCACCTTTGGCAGCTCTATGTCAAGACAATGACCTGCTCTCCTTGCAAGGCACAAGCACTTGAGTCTGCAGGAGAAAGATGATGCACACTTGAAGGGTATTATTTGAATCATACCAACCAGAATTGACACCATGATCTAGGAGATTCTCAAATCCAGGTGTGAACTGCTGGCACAGTTGAGACCATGTGATCTCTGGCATGATGTTCTTCTTGGTTCACATCCAATGATGCTGGAGTGTGCCATGCAAAGCTTCATTGTGCCACTGTTGCAGCATGGTATGGGCATTTGCAATCCCATAATTTTCAGACACCAGGTCACTTTGAGTGACCATTGGCATATCTAAAATTTAAGTTGAACTAGGTTTATGCTTTAAAATATGAATCACTTATGACTGAGAGCCTCAATTGTGTCAAGGTAGTAACTCAGAATGAGCTGCAGGTTTTGGTTGGAATGCTAGACCTGAATCCACATTATGCAACCAGAGAAAGGCTCAATGCCAGTATGCAGCCCAAGACCAAATCTGAGCCACTTATCATGCTGATCAATGGCAAATAAATCATTTGCGCCTGCTGCCCAGAAGCATCTCCTTCGAAGGTGACAGGCCTTACACTGATGAACAAGTTCTGGTTCATACAAAGCGAAGTATTCTGTCACAACCCTCCTAGGATGCGAAACTTGTGTGTTAGCAATTGGTGCTTACAATGTATAGATAGACATATCACCTGGCAACACTCATTTCATGTGCTCTGGCATTTGGATATATAGCACATAAGTTGAGCATTGCATCATGAATGGTTTCAACTGTGTGACCCTATTGATGGGTTTGTTGAAGACTCACAGTTTTCCGAATTTTAAGAAGTGTGGTAAGCCTAGTGTATGATCATTCAACATAAACAACTGGATTTAAATTGAAACACTGCTCACTCAATACCATAGCGAGTTGTATCAATGTGCTTTTGCAGTTCCTGGACAATCTGCTGATCATTCTGGTGGGCCTTCCAAAGGTGAAGGATACAAGGCACAATTTCATCCAATGGCACTGCTGGTGCTTAGAGTTCAGAATGCCACCAGTAGGAATGACAAAGTTTTGATATGTATATGTAATTTGTTTTGGTTGGGCATTGCAACATGCAGCTTATGGCGGCTAGGCTTGCATCATCATACTTTATACTAGTCTTGACTTGCTTTGGACTTACCTAGTTCATGCATGGATTCTGGGCACAACATTCTGGGCACAACACTTTGCCACTCATGCCCCACTTGTGTCTCACATCTTCCTAAGTTGAGTTCAGTTCCTAAGTTGAGTTCAGCACTATCAAGTGTTCTGGATGTGATTCCCAGCAAAAACAGCTAACATTTAGATCAGATTTAGACAGGGCAGGCTGATGTGCACCAGGTAGTGCTGTTGGCAGAACTCACACAAAGGGAGGGTGGTAGATCCTAGCAGAACTCATAACTCATATTTGAGAGTTGTGGAGATGGAAACTACTGCTGTGGCAGTGCTGTTCCTGCTTGTTCAGAGTTCCCAGTCTTGCTCGACCTCTATCGCCACATTATCCACCTCTTTAGTCAATTCTCACTGGGTGTGATTCTCTGTGAGGTGCACTGTTCTCTTATCAGGTGCTTCAAATGAGGTCCACCATTCTCTTATGAGGTGCATGCTTATGAGGTGCACCATGCACCATTCTCACCATTTTCTATTCCAGCATTCTCTGGCTGACATTCTGGACTTCACACTTTCAAGTTGCCCCTTTGCACCATTCTCTATGAGGTACACCATGCACTGTTCTCACTGTGCACTGTTCTCACTGTTCTTTATTTGCAACAGTGCACAGTCCAACTTTCAACTTCAAGTCAATATGTACTGTTTGGTGCTTATTCAAACATGAGCTGAGGACCTTGAGTGCTCATCATCACTTGTCTCCATTGTCAGGTATTTAAGCTGCTTAGCATTCACTTAGGCTGCCTTCAGACCTCCATGTCAGACTATGAACTTCTCACTCAATACACCAAGGATGCCTATTCCAGAGAAGACCAAATTTGTGACCATCCATCTTGCAAGGCCAATATCAGGACCAGGGATCCATGTTTCTATGTTGCAGTGATTGAGCCAGGTCAATGTGGGCACTATGTGTGCACATCCTGCCACTTGCATTATGAGAAGAAATGAGCTACTTCAGTGCAACCTACCGGTATGTAATCACTATCAATTGACAAGTTGCTGGCTTACAGACTACTGACTCAGGTAGTCAAACCTTGCAATCCTGTGTCCCTCCTGATCCATGTACTATACAACAATCTGTAAATGCAGCACAACAAAGGTATAAGCCAAGATTTGTGTTACTGTGGAGATTCATGATCTGATTAATACCATGCCAGCAACACCTAATCTGCCTCCTGTGGTTGCTGTACCTGGCAGCTCTTGTGCTAGAGGGCCAGATGTTAGAATTCCTACATCATGGCAAGGTTTGTCGACAACACCATTTAAAGCAGGTGCCATGGGGTATTCATTGCAACATACACATTATGCTGCTGATTGTGACTGCTGGGGGAAAATTGCATACACTTTGTCTCTAGCAGAGACTATTTTGCTTGAAATTACAGCAGTTCATGAAGGTGCTGGAGCTCACAAAAAGCAAGGTATTACTATCAGAGTACATTCACATCTCAGTAAAATATGCTGTGACTTGCTTATGCTTCAGCTTAGAACATATGTGAGGGTAGGAAGGATATCAATGCTCAAATTGACACACCTGGGCTCACTAAGCTAGCTTTGGAGACCATTGTCCCAAAGTTACACAAATTTGGTGGAGAATGTATCTGGCATGTTGAGGAGTTTGTAATCTGAGATGCCACATGGGTGGACCTGTCCAATCACCCACAATCTGTTCCTTATTTCTATTACCAATGCCTGTAGCCATCTCACAAAGGCACCAAATTGATTTTCAAGTCTAAACAATTTGCACTGATGGTTGTTGTCCCAGAGGTTCAGTGGAATGAATATGAGAATTGGCTGGAACTTCATGCAGAAATGGTATGTATTTTGATGCTGTCTGCTTACCACTAGTGCACTAACTATGATTTTGCAGTCCAGGAAGCAGAAGCTACCTGAACAAGCTGCACTCAGTCTAGCAAACATACCACTGCTCACACAGCTGTCAGTTTTGATGTGTCCTCATCAGTGACAACTTCACTTGCTGAGAATAAGCTTTTCTTACCTTCTGTGACCACCAACAGTTCTGTTGAGATAGGACAATGTGGCTCTACACTCTATGCTATCTGAGTTGGTGGTGTGCTGCTCTACTCTGTGTGAACTTGTCTGCCTTGTCTGACTAAGCCTTGGAAACAGCTGTGGGACCCTTCTCCTCGTCTCTGCTACTCATGAGACCCCTAGTCCATGCACCCCCCTAAAAAGAACTGGTGCCACCCTCAATGCCACTCTCCTCTATTCTCCACTCTTATCTCCCTCTACCAGTCCTTCTTCCCCTTCATTTTCATCCTCTGTTTTGTCTTCCTCTTCTTCATCATTATCTTTCTCCTCTCTTCCACTCTCTAGTTTTTCTTTATCTCTTTTCTCTGCTTTATATATCTCTTGCTTCTTTGCCAATTGAGTACCATTCCTGGGAGTGAACACTCTCAAATGTCTTGCACTGAATTCTCCCTGAATTGGTCTTCCTTCCAACATCTCCAGTTTGTATGAGTTTAGGTTTCTTGACTGAATTCGGCATGGAACCAACCATTTTGGTATTAGCTTTTGTTCCGTTTTGAAGGTATAGTCTAAATCATTACAATATACTTGAACCAGTTGACTGATTTTAAAAATAACCTCACTGGGCATTCTCTGTAGGATTTTCTTATTAAACGTTGCTTTACGCTTGATAGCATTATGGACTGCCTCCTCATAGCCATCCAAACATTGTTGCTCCACATACACCATCTGTGTCAACATGTCCAATTGCCTAAGTGTTGAAGTACTATCCTCAATCTTTGTTCTTGGTGTATTTGTCATGAGGCCAAGAAGCAATTCCTTGGGAGAGAATTTTAGCGCTGGCAGCAAACGGTGGTTCAAAGCATGAACCATGTCATCCAAGTAGTCCGGCCATTTCACTGGGAGCCTGTCCCAAGATACTCCTTGCTGTTCACTATCCTCTCCTATATCTGATGCGCACAACCTTTTTCAAACATGTAGCAATAGCTTATTAGTTCCCTCAACCAGGCTGTTTACCCACAGTGAGTATGCTGCCATGATATGCAGTTTACATTGTCGCACTTCACATAATGCTCGTACTGCATCGTTGTTAAAGTGCTTTCCGCTGTCCATCATGAAGGTTTCTGATGGCGCAAACACATTGAAGATGCCATTGAGACTGTTCATCATCATCTTTGCACTGCCCACCATCTTGTACTTGAATACCCAAGTATGTTGCGAAAATACATTGAGGTAGACTCCTAGTGTGCTATATCCACCTTTCCCTTTAGGAAGTGCTAGATAATTGCCTACTAATAACTTGAACAGGTGTCTCCTGGTAATTGGTTCCAATAGTGAGTGCAAATGTGTTGATCCGAAACTTTTACACTTAGTGCAGTTTTGTATAGTCTCCATTATTGAAGTGTCCAACTTTGGGCTACAAATCCAATCCAACAATGCCATTTTCACCACATCTCTCCCCCAATGACCCCCTTTGGTGTGTTCTTTTTCTGCCAATTTTTTTGCTTCTTCCTTTGATATACATTCTACCTTAGCTCATGCTCTGGTTTCTGTTCCCCCTTTCAAGCACCACAATTTTTCATCTTCAATGATATATTGTAGCACTTGATGTCTGGCTCATTGTTTTTCCCATATGTCCTTATCTTGGTCCAGGTTACCGATTGCCTCAATAACTTCTAGAAACACTGGTTCATTAGTAAATCTTATTTGCAGGTTTTCTATCATTGGGTCCATTGATGTCACAAGCATCATGTTGTTTGCCAGTCCTGTCTGAGCCTCCCAATCCTCACTTACCATCCACTTGCTACCATCTCCTGTAGTTGGTGGTATTCCTTCCCATTTGTGGCTGAGTCCATCCACAACCACATTCAGCTTCCCTGGGACATGCCTTACATCCACAATATTATATGCCAATATACCCTCTCTCCAATGTGCGTGTGCCACGTTTAGCATTGGGTTCAGTAAAGTATCCTTTAATGCATTGCAGTCCATTTCAACCTCAACCAGGAAGCCCCATATTATCCCTGAAAATTTATCTAACCCAAATTTTAGTGCTGTGAACTCTAATAAATATGATTTGTATTTCCTTTCTGTTTGTGATGTCCATTTTGATGTGAAACCTATTGGGTGTATATGTTTGACCCATTTTCCAGTAGGTGTCTGTACCTTCACCCTTTGTGACAAAACTGCCACGAATCCTTCTATACACCCATCTGATGTTACAATGAATATTGAACTGTTGTACCTTGGTGCTTACAGCACTGGTCTTGCTGTAATAGCTGCCTTGAGGTCTAAAAATGTGTTAGTGTGTTCCATTTTCCAATATTGACCAAGTTGAAAATCAGTCATTGCTTTCCAGTATGCAGTCTTGCCATATGAGCTATCTAGTGGGACCTTGAGTAGTAGGTCTCGCAAAGGACCTTCCCATTTTGTGTAAGCTCTTATTAGTGATCTATAAAAGCCTGTGAGTCCTAAGAATGACATTAGTCCCATTATGTTTGCTGGTTTTGGCCAATTTACAATTGCTGTGAGCTTTGTACCTCCTGTGAATTCCATCTCTGATATGCAGAATTTCATCTTTCCCAGAGCTATTGAGAACCTGCACTCTCTGAACTGCATGAAGATAATGGCCAACTTGTCCATCATATCCCTGAATGTATCAGCTGCACAACCTCCATCATCCATGAACAATTCCATAAAGTATGTTACCAATAGGTCATGCAGTCTTGCTGCTAACACTTCGCAGAATGCCATGGGTGCTCCTGTAATCCCCATCAGCATTCTCTTGTACCAAAAATAGCCTCATCCTTCTACATAGAATGCCAGGTATGGTCTCCACTGTTCCAGCACCTCTACTGCATAGTATCCAGCTGCAAAGTCAAAAACTGAGATATAACAGTGCCTGCTAAGACGCTGTTGTTTCACCAAGATGTCTCCCTGTATCATTGGTGCTACTTCTGTGACTTTATTCAGCTGGGCGAAATTTTGGCATATTCTCCATTTCCACAGTCCTTTGTTTGGATTTGGAGTGTCCTGTGCCTGTGGTATTTCATGCTCCAGTAGCTCAAATGCTAGGACTCTTCCTGTGCTCCTGCATTGATTGTTAACTCTTTGTTTTAACTCTTCCTCTGATAGGCCATTCATCTTGTGGGCCTTCTGAGCTATGACCATTGTAGCTGTGCACTTGACTAATTCTGGTGGCACTTGCTCTATGATTCCTGCCTTCAACATCTCCTCTACTCGTTCATTATAAAACCTCAACTGTTCTGGAGTTAACAGTCTTTGATGTGTGTGTAGGTTGAACATCTTGCCCTCTGGTACATTGAGATTTAGCTGTGCTCCTGGTATTATGTTGACTTCTCATAACAATAGTGCGAACAAATCCACATTATCCTTGATGAATTGTTCCAGTTCCTGTCATTCGGCATCTGCAAGATCGTTGCTGATTATGACTTGTCAAACAATTTCTGCTACTCTCTCTGGTTTGAATGGGTTCCTTTGCCTTGTGTATACTGAAGGATCCTGATCTGTTGGTGGTAATTCCAGTAGTTCTCCTGTTACAGTTATGTACGCCCCTATTCATTTTTCTCCTCCTTATACTTGTATTACATCATGACCGCACAATGCAGTGCCATCACTAGACTTATCTTCCATATTTGTATTACATTGCAATCACCACAGCCATCATTAGATGACTCATCTCTTATCTCTGACTTGTCCTTTATCTCTGACTCATTGCTGACATACATGTACCTGCCCTAAAGTCACTTATGTCCTATATATAGTCAACTATGTACTTAGTAGTTCCTTACTTTAATCTTACTAGGTTCCCACCTGGATATTCTTTCACTTAAGACCTCCAATCTTAAGTCGTCTAAGACTGATATTCAAGACAGAGACACTCTCTTTGTCTTGTCTTATGACCCTTACATTTGTAAGGCCTTGATTCAATTTCAACCATCGCTCTTATTGAGCTGTTGACGTTGCGACTATCCTAGTTCATAACAAAAGCTTAAAGTCCTACTCCGACCCTCTCCATCAGGGAGGTCCCAGAAACTCAGAAAACCAGAACCAGACAGAGAGAGATGTAACATCCCCTGTAATCAGACACATCACTAGACCAGATGATCAGGATGTCAGCACCTACCACTACCTCAGAACTTAAAGCTGGAGCTCCAACATCTTACGATGGAAGCCCTCAGCAAGCTTTATGGTGGTTATATGCAATTAAGGCATACTTTGCTCTTAATGCTACAATCTACAATACCGATGAAAAGAAAGTCATTACCACTCTCACATACATGACCAAAGATAGTGCTATGGGATGGGCCCTCACCTTCTACACCAAAGTTGACAACTCCATTTCCAAATCCTATGGAACCTTTGTGAATTTTGAAACAAAATTCAAAGAAGCCTTCATACCAGCCAATGCCATCAGCACAGCCATGAATAAGTTCCGCACTTTGAAACAGACAGGCAACCTGACTTCCTACATTGCCAGCTTCAAGACCCTTGCTGCGCAAGCCTCTGTAAAGCAAGATGCTGTCTTGATCACCTTTTTCAATGATGGACTTAAGAAAGGAATCGGTAATTCCATTTATCAAATGGAAACCATTCCTACAGACTTCGACAAGTATGTCACCACAGCCATCAGGCTCGACAGTAATTGGCAAAGGGGTGCCATGTTCCAACAGAACAATTGCACCACCACCAAGCCAACTGGACAATGATACATCCCCAGACCCTCCATTGATCAACATGATCCAAATGCCATGGAGGTAGACCGGCTCTCCAAAGCCAAAAGGAATGACCATATGAAGAAAGGGTTATGTTTCACATGTCACCAGAAGGGACACATGACCAGAGCCTGCCCACAGAAGAAGAACGGGAAAACCCCGGTTCGTCGCGAAGAGATAGAAGAAAGTGACAAAGAAGATGAAGATACAATGATCCGTTGCCTAGCCAAGGATTTTTGATGTGGAAGACTGGATCG